CTCTGGCGGTAGTTATTTTATTCAATACAGCATCAAAAATACTAAAACATTTTTAAATGCGGTTAGGGAATCGTATAAGGTAGGCCCGAATATCAAAGTCCAGATAGAGCGTTTGGCATACTTTTTAATAGACATGCGCATTCTTACAATTGATAATTATTGCCTGAAGCAGTTATATTGGCCGGGGAATCGTCAATGTTCATAAAATATTTACATTTTCTTTGTACGGTGCTTAGATAAACCTACCAGCCGACATTGTTGTAATGTTATATATACAGCAACAACTATTAGCATTAATCTTTGCCAAACGGAAAATGTTCGGGTCTTTCCGTCAAAAAACTTGAGCAATCGGGGACCAATCATAACAATCCCAAATAATTTTCGACCAGCGGAACTACGACTAGAAAGAACGATATAATGATATTATCTTTGCTGTTCTGAACGTAAATATAAGAACTGAAACGCACCTTTTCAACCTTTATTATGGTATGAAACACAGGTCCGTTTAAACAGATTACATGATAATTGGTCACTTCCGTTCCAACATATTTTCAAAGTTGCGCCACCGTACATCATGGAAACGTTTTAAAGGAACTGTTTCATACCATCATACATGTTAGAAAGAGTCCATATGTTCTAGATACTAGAAAGATGCTACGATACCAGAATGAACACTAATGAGTATTAATGAAAACGTCGTTATTTACATCATGGATATCACACAAGATATTGTATCGAACATCATTTTGAGTGAGGATGCACACAGTTCGGCAGTAATACAGTTTTTGGTATCCTCGTGAGTCACTCAGTCCTTTGATATCTTCGATTGCATTTACTCTCAATCTTTCTTGATCTGCATATGTTGGGAAATTCCATTTGCGAGGACTAGGCCATTAAAGTTTGCCGTCAGGGCCACTGCTTGTTTGGTCTATGTTATTACCAGTTTGTCAGCGAGGACAGAAAACGTCCTTCTGTAACTACCGGTCAGCAGCAACAGGGACATGCTAAGTAGTTTTTTTCACGTAGACTTCACGTGACAAAGCAGCGAAGGATTATCCTTGCATATTTGTCCACCATTGTTTAATGTTTCCCTAAATAGATATCGATGTAAAGAGGTGACAACCAGATATTCTCATCCGTCAAGCAGTGAATTATTAACGTAAAATGCCGAAGACACACAGTCAAGATTTCGCCCGGTCACATTATACGGACGACAGGTAAACCAGTTGTTGTGATTAGTGTAGGAAAAACTCAATCTCTTTGACAGTTCTGCACAGTATATTCCGTATCTGTTCCAAAAATATTTCGTAGCGTTCTGAACGTGTTCCAGGATATTCTAGACGAATGCCGGATCATTTGCTACTAATAACTGGGTTTAGTATCGTTTGTCTCTTTCCGATAGTCTCTTTGCGTTTGGCATATCTGGCGTTTGTCGGTCCAAGCCTCTTCAAACTTACAATGTATGTGGACGGAGCTTTCCTGACAATGTTATCTATATGACAAATACCGAAACTGGTTGGCGGTATTTAATAAGCGTATCCAAAAAATTTGTGATGACCAAAGCAGTGTGTAGATAAAAACAAGCCAACAGACAAGTCAACTTCATATTTAATTGTAATTTTGTCAAACTCACAAATAAATATGAGATTCATAATGGACCGCTGTTTACAGACGTTTGGCATAAGCCTTATTACAACCACAATAAATCATCAAAACGTGAAAAAAAATATCAAAATATATATACATCACCCAACATTGAGTCATAAACCAAAATTAACAAGTTTTGTAGAATAAATTTCACATAAAATACACCAAGATGTAACGTTAAAGGGTTAAAATAGTTTCATAAGAACGTACATCACAACAATACATGGAAAAGATAAAACCCTCATAACTGGATTTTTTTAACATATCCAACACTATTTTTTTACAACGGATTTCCTAAAAAGCTTATATAGTAAATATATAAAGTGATTGATAATGTTTTTCATATTACCGGGGGTATATTCTGTTTTTGCGTATTACAGAGTTATCTTCTCTTAGGAGCAGGTATTGATTGTTACGTAACTTGTTTGTGAGAGTAACGTCATCAATTTTTGAGAAAACGACGAAATTTTCTCGCACAAACCAATGACGTAACAATCAATACCTGCTCCCAAGAGAAGATAACTCTGCAATACGCAAAGACGGAATAGGACCTTTTCCACAGGTCCAAATGATCATACTTCACTGAAAGAAATGAACAACTGTATACATTGTTCATATTTCAATTGAGCTGATTATGATACAGGTAAATCCATTTTAACCTAACTTACCTACCCACAGGTCAACCTATCTTTCAGATTTACATTAATTCATAACATAGAACACTAAAAAGTAACAAGAGCTAGTTTCTCAACCCCTGTCGGCAATCCCTTAATTTAATCAACACCCTGACCTTGGAGGCTTCGTGCAAAATGTTGACATCCATTCATATCTGAAACCATAAGCTTATTGTACCGCATTTATCTACCAGAATGGGGGATACCTCTATTGTTTAAACAACCTGAATTCCCTTGTTCTAAGTATGCTTCATGTCAGATTATGTTAAAATCCCTTCACCTTTACCTGTATCATAACACATGTAAAAAAATAACAATATAAAAGTTATTGATTCATGACGGTGTTGTATGATATTGTGACGACTGTGAAAAGATAAACCCATGCCTTCATAACAAATTAAAAATAAAAATAAAAATAAACTGTAGATTATAGATTATAAAAATAATTTGATTTCCATATAAATGTCAACATAAGGTCCAATTGGTCTCGGGATGTTTTGGCACTCTGGAGGAAGTCACTTGAGTATTTTAACAAGTTTTTACAAATAAGACCCTACATATATGTTGGATTATTTCTTTTCACAAATTTAGTAGCGCTCGATCGTAGCAAATATCATGACTCTTTCGGTTTTTCAGAAGAATTTCCTTGAGTGTTTTCACAGCCCCTGTTACATGTAATAAAGGTGATGGTTATTTCTGTCCTCCAATGTTATTGAAATCGATGCCCGCCACCCACAGGCCCACCATTATGACTCTAGACCTTTTGATTGCTCAGAAATTATTTGAGTGTATTTATCAATTTGACTCTAGTGACCTTGAATATGGGTCAATGTCGTTTCTTTTTTTGCAAGTTTTGAAGCACTCACTGTGGCCTAGTAGCATGACTCGGGACTGTTTTCTGTTTGAGCGTTTTAACAAGTGTGGCCCATGTTACGTTTTATATGAGGCCCTATTAATGAAAGAACTTTGTTGTACTTCACAAACTTTATAAAACATATACCAACTGTGCTACTTAAACATTTAAACAATACAAGTGCAAATTTGTTAGATGCCTAAAAATCTATCCACTTGTGGGCACGTAAAATGGCTAGCCCCTTACTGCTTGCAAAACTAATTTTATTTCCAATCACTTGCTACAAAAATTTAACTGCCTTCGGGTCTGCGGTATTATTTTTTTTTATATTTTTTTTGCACATCACTTAAGAAAAATCAGGGTCATATAACCGTGATAGTAATTTTGCTGCATACTTTATTATAGAAAATATGGGTTCATATCACCATGATAGTAAAAGCGCTTAACAATAGCATACAACAACAGTTCTACATTAATCATAAGTGGTTTTACATTGTAGCTAGGTTTATTCATATTTTAAATCTAAACAATTTATTACATAAAAGTTCTATCTATTCCAAAAAGCTAAAGACTGCACCATGAGGTAATGCTAACAGAGTGGTCTCCCTGGATTTGTGAAATCCAGATGTAAAACATGCAAAATATCTCAGTACACTGACTACCAGTTATGTATACATGTATCAAAATAAAAGACACATCAATGATGATCAATCAGGATATAATCTTGGATATTCAAGAAAAGTTTGATAGGTGGTGTTCAGTATATGTATTGAGTGATATAGACAATGGGTTCGTCCACCCTTCACAGGTGTGTCTCCCGTTTTAGCCGGGAAAGATCAGCTTGTCACCCCCTAGGGGGAGATAGCCTCGTGCCGATTAGCACGTGTTCAATTGTGATGTCATTAAAATGCGTCATCGGTAATTGTGACGTCATCAAAAGTGAATGACGATATGCATACCCCACATGTGTTTTTGTTTACAAACATGGCAGACTACTGTCGGTGGAGCTGTGACTGAAATAATAGGATGGGAGAAAAATAATCATCCCCTACCTTGAGAAATCTCCAACCCGAGCGGTGATGTTGTTTGGTTGTCTAACCCGAGGCTAGATTATATTATTGAATTCCCTTGACAACAGGGCATTTATATCTATCTATATATATATATATATCTACACATAGCCTTATACAACACTCCTAGGTGGGTACAACACAGTGTCATGAGGTTTAGAACTTTTTAAATGCATGCTTTGATAACTCAGATAAGTGAAATATTGTTTTCGGTTTACTTTCAACATAATTTGGCATTAAAGGAGATACTTCCTATGTGAGCAACAGAACTAGTATAACGTTGATCCGTGAGAAAGGAATACAGAATGTTTGTCTCATGGGTCAGACACTACTCTCTTGGTAAATATTACATAGTAACAACAATCACAATGAAATATTTAAAAGCACAATCACAATAAATATTTAAAGCAAGCAAACAGTTTTTAAAATAAATTAATCACCACATAAAAATATACCAATGTCATTTTGAAATAATAAAAATATATTATTTAAGGAATAACTTATTTTTTTCATGTTATTGAGATATAACACAAAAAAACTGAGTGTACATGTACTCTAAATAAACCGCAAAGCCGTTTATGATGAGAGCTACACTCAGGGTTTTTGTGTGTAAATATATTCAAGTTAATCCTTATAATTTAATCTACTATACACAATCCCCGTGGAAATTGACTTTTATTGATGGACTCTTTTCTCTTAAAAATTATTGCGCTGCAGTATCAGCCAATCAAAAGCGACGATACAAACGGTGACGTCATTTTTTTACATTATGGGCTGATAACATAAATTTTTAAGCCAATGAGATGCTTGTTACAAGCAAGATTAAATCATACGTGGGCCTTAACTGTCATCTGTGATAATTACTGTAATATAGTACTTGCAGATATAAATAAAATGATATCCACCTACATTATACTTATAACCTACCAGGACCAAACAATGATGTTCCCTGGTATATCTAATGGCTTCAATTCAAGATCAAACAATGATCCTCAAAATAACCAACATGGCAGCCATTTTAGATACTTAAACATTTAAAATCATATATTATTTAAAATCAGATATTTCAAATTGACCCTGTTTGTTATAGTTCTTTCATCTTTTTATATACAATTTCTCCAATAAACCTGGAGTTTAAATTGTTGATGTTTGCCTTGATAATGGAACAAAACATTAAATAAAACAGAAAGGGAACAACTCGAATTGTAAGGACCATTCACTGGTCATTCCTAGTGTCTCAAACTTTGGCCCCGGTAATATTTCAGCTCAATATGTGAAAAGTGAACAGATGGCGATGAATGGCAATACAATATACATCATAACAACAGCAGATGGACTAGACTCACACAGGCTTTCTAAAGCAAGTAAAATGACCAACAACTGGTATGCATTAAAACTGGTCTAAACTAAGCAATATCTTACATCATACTGGTCAATTCAAACATAACTAGAGATTTCTTTTTGTGAACAAAAAACTGATGTCTCCCCTTAAAAGGTCTAACAGTTACATCCCGGACAAGATATTCATGAAAAGTTTGCACTTATTTGTCCTTTTTCCTTAAGGTCAAGGTCACAGTAACCTAACAACAGTGCACTGTACATTGGCTGTAGTTGATACAGATATACTGCAAGTTTTATCAGGATACCTTTAACTTAGCACTTATTTGACCTTATCATTAGAGACACTGTCTACTGCTTAATCATAAAATGCATATATGAACAAGTTCTAATTTGTTCCAAAGGGGACCAATATGGAAGTCCTTAAAACTGACCCCATTGTCACAAATGATGCTTGGATGGAGTTTACAATGCCATCATATACTTACATACTAAGCTTAAGCCAAATTAGACACAGTGAGGGATCGTTGGCATCACCTTAGCGTACACGTTTAAATGTTTGAAACAATCATACTGTTTTTACCTTTAACTTTGAGGTAAAGGCCACAGTGACCTAATGACACTACACATCATCTGTAGGTGGTGCAGTACGTCATACTGCAAGTTTCATCAAGATGTCGTTAATGGTTTAAAAGTTACAGCCCCGGACAAGATGTTCCCAACGAATTTGCAGATATTTGACCCTTGACCTTTGGATCAAGGACAAATTGATCTAATGACAGTGCACTGCACATCCTCTATGGGAGATGCAAGTATACTTCAAGTTTCATCAAGACATCTTTAACAGGTTAAAAGTTGTAGCCCGACAAGAGGTTCCTGAAAAAATGTGTGCATATTTGACCTTTGACATTGGAGTCAAGGTCACAATGACCTTATGACATTGCACTGCACATCGTCTATTGTTGATGCAGGTTTACACATGAAAATCCTTTAAAATCAATTTTAATAATTAGTGAATTGCGATATGAACTTTAAAATTAATGTGATATATTTATATTATCATTAGCTTCATCTTTATTTATATATTAATAGCAGTATAAGTACTCAATTGATAACATGATCACCACAAAGCTGAGTACTATACACCAAGAGCTACATTGTTTTAGCAAAATGGAATACAGGTCACATATGATCAAAGAATGCTGCAGTGGTTCCATTGTAAATTACAATGTATATTGATACATGAACGGCAAGGTTTCAGCATCAGCACCTTCAAGTAGGTTTTTTTTTTTAATTTTTATCTTAAGATTCTTTAATAGCAAAGAATAACGCACGGTTCTTTTTTGTGGCTCCTTGCTTTGTTTACTGCAGTCTACTTAGTGTGCTATAGGAGTTGTCTCCCTTCCCCAATAATATGTTTTCAAATACATGTTATGTAGTGTGTGATTTGATTGTGTTGGTTAGAATGGACCTGACAATTGTGAAACTTTACACAGTATTTACAAATAAAACTCTTAGTAATGTTCTCATCACATACACAAACACACACAGAAATACACTGCAAATTTTAAAGGATCTAGCTTATTAAAAAACTAACAGGACTAGCTACAATCACATTTAACAGAAGACTAACATTTCCTGCTCTGCTTTTAGCTGACATATAAAAATATACACAATCATATAATTTTATCTAAAGCAACCCCTTACTGGCAAAAATGATACATGTTTTCTTATTAACTAGAACAGGGTGATTATGTGATTCATATTTGATATGAATATATATAAACACTATTTTGATTATATATGCATGTCCCAGTGGTGAAAACCATCTAGTTGATTGTTTCCGACTCCGCTGGAGGGAATTTATATCTTCAGCTTAGAGCACTGGACTAGCATAACAATGAAGTCACACATACATCTCCTGGTGGATACAATTCATAAGTGACCCCAGTTACATTGGCACCGACTTAGGGACCCGGGTCACTGCATGGGTACGATGATGGCCTTAATCTTGCTCTAATAGGGAAATCAAGGAGATGACTGTTCAGGATTTACTATGATATATATCTACCAATTTGCCCTGTAAGGGAAATATTGACAACAGAAGACCTGTCATGGAGAAAGTTCATTCACTTACACTTTGTGCTGGATGAGCTGAAATAAACACTTTCAAAGATTCTAGTGTAATTAAAGATCTGTCAGTAACAATTACAAAATTAACCCTTCTAAACACAACCTCCAGGAATGTTCCAAATCGTGGTCAATTTCACACCTACAGGGATAACATTTCCATACAAAGAGTTCACAATGTAAGGAAAACAGTTACTGATTGTCTGACAAACCGGGAAATCAGATCAACAAATAAATGGTTAACAATAAGAAACTAGTTCTATTTTTATATGTTTTCATTACCATAATGTATATGAGTGATAAATACCCTATTAGTGTACTGTAGGCCTTCACATACACATGGTTGTATGGCTCCCTTGATATGAATGATTAAAGTTTTTAAAAAATTACTATATAAATATATATATGTAACAAAGTGACCGATAGGTTCCTCTATTTTAAACTTTTCTGAGGCGAGATACATTAAGGATACATAAAAATAAGCCTTGAAGCTGAAATTTCCCCATCTTTTTGCAGCTTTACTTCAATGGGAAAAAATTATATCACAACTATTTTTTCGTGATTGGCTGTACCATAGCATAGTCCTCCATGTTTATTATGAAAGTGACTTGCAATTGTGCCCATTCACGCTGTAAATTTGGGAAAGTTTCAGCTTCAATCCAGATAACTACAACTATCATAAAATTCAGGTAAAAACACCAAAAATAGTTTTGAAAAATAGCAATGGAACTTTCCAAAAAAGGATTTTTTCCATGTAAAATAACACAGGCTTTTCAAGATCATAAATGAAGTTTGCTTACAAGCAGTTCACAGTACGTTTTACAAACATTAAAAGACAATCTCAAATTACACTTCCAATAAAAACTTAAAACACCATTCCTTGTACGTCCAATAAAGCTTACCTAGTTTCATCATATTTATATATTTTAACATAGAGAATAGTTTTCTTTAAAAAAAATCTAGCAGTGTTTATAAATAAAACCATTTCTGAACCAACAGCATTTTTCATAACAATATGCAAAAGATATCTGCTATAATTTATAACCTTCCTATAATTGTTTACGTAAAGTTTGATTCACTGTAATTCCGGAAGCTCAAACTTTCCGGCATTTTTTTCTGGAAGACATTTGATAGGTTTAGATTTTGGGTAACAGTAAATAGTCAAGGTTCTAACAAACTCTCCATTATAGAGACAACAAATTCACAGGTTTATATTTCACAAATATTTTCAGGTGATAATTATAGAATAACTCTAAACCTCTGTAGAATATTAGCACTATACAGAATGCGTTTTGGACATTAATATCTACAAGTGTTCGTGTAAAATATTTTGGAAGACATATCTTAATACTAAACAATAACGACAACAATGTTATAATGTTCGTCATTTCTTATCCATATGGTACAAACATAGAGCGACTAGGACAAGAATTAAAGACATCAAGAAATAGGAGTTGATGTTGGTATTGAAAACCGTGACTGAGAGTCCCGTGGCCACCAGCATGGCAGACGACACCACAAACAGACGCGTGATATTACTGGCATGCTTCATGATCACCGACATGATGAGACCGTTGGTGACCTGGAAATAAAAAGTGCTGAGAGTACTGAACACATAAAAGATATCAGGCCTATAATATCAAATCAACGTACTCAAAGTACAGAGGACACGAATGCAAATTGGTCTCCAAGATAAAATCAAAGTACTGAATGTCCTGAAGACATGACATAAGACACACAGCTATCACAAATATTGAGTTCTCACCATTTCCACTCCTTTTGTTATTTTCTTTATGTCCTATCCCACCCGCAGAGCACTGACCATTCTTTACAGACCGTGACTGCATGTATTTAAAAAGAATCAATATTGCTGTCCAAAGTTTATGATCCAACCAGCAAATACCCTCCACACTGCCTGATAGTAAACTTTGATTATAGAAGATGGTGAACAACAGGATATCTGAATCATAGTGATCTCACGATAAAGACTATTATCAAACTATATCCCTGTTACAATGTCTTATCTGTTACGGATATCAGCCGAAAACTGTCCAGTAAAGTGAGAGAAAGGACAGTTGACGTGGCCCGTTAACAAAACAAAACAAAGTGTTAAAAAGGACAGTTGACGTGGCCCGTTAACAAAAAAAGTGTTAAAAAGGACAGTTGACGTGGCCCGTTTTGGAATGTGTTGAATTCCATAGATATAAACACTGCTGGTACAGTACTCTATCCGTTGATTTTGGAATGAATGTGTTGAATTCCACAGATATATACACTGCTGGTACAGTACTCTAGCTGTTGATTTTGGAATGTGTTGAATTCCACAGATATATACACCGCTGGTACAGTACTCTAGCTGTTGATTTTGGAATGTGTTGAATTCCACAGATATATACACCGCTGGTACAGTACTCTAGCTGTTGAATTTGGAACGTAACGGGCCTCAACAAATGTCCTTTCTCTCACTTATTGGACAGTTTTCGGCTTATATCCATAACTTACAATGTCTAACAGGTCTGTTCAATCACAATGATCTACTTGATTTACAATATTGTAACCAGTGTAATTACAATACCGTACCTGTGTAATAACAATACCTTTCCTGTGTAATTACAATACCGTACCTGTGTAATAACAATACCTTTCCTGTGTAATTACAATACCGTACCTGTGTAATAACAATACCTTACCTGTGTAATTACAATACTTTACCTGTACTGTGTTATAACAATACCTTAACTGTGTAATTACAATACCTTACCTTTCCTGTGTAACTACAATACCTTACCTTTCCTGTGTAATTACAATACCTAGCTTACCTGTGTAATTACAATACCTTACCTGTGTTATAACAATACCTTTCCTGTGTAATTACAATACGTTACCTGTGTTATAACAATACGGTACATGTTTAATTACAATACCTTACCTGTGTTATAACAATACCTTTCCTGTGTAATTACAATACCTTACCTGTGTTATAACAATACCTTTCCTGTGTAATTACAATACCGTACCTGTGTTATTACAATCATCCAGGTGTAAACACTATATCCTCTGAAGAGGTGGAACTGGGTCTCTGTAAATTCAAATAAAAGTGATACCAGTGAAGTGCTGCTTTACTAAGTTATATGAGGGAAAGTAATTTACAAGAACACACCATTAGTTTTCTACATAATAAACAGACCTAAATACCAGAATAACTTGAACCTGCATCTTAGATGCTTTTATTCACACAAAATGGATGATTATATCCCGAATTTACTTTACATCTCTTCAGCTATTTCAGATTCATAATCTTTTAAAGGAAAGGTTTCAGGACCGGCAGAGATATAATTGGACAACATATTCAGTCTTAGTAAGCTTTGCCCAGGAAAACTAACCACAGGTTCCAGAGGTTGACAAAATGTCAAAAAATTATTCCATTAAAATCATTTCTATGCTTTTGGCATAATTTTCATCTGATATTTACCTGATTCTGGTAGATCTACTTCTTGGAAGAACCAGCTACAGAAATTGATGATAATTCCATACATGTAGAGTAAAATATTCTGGTAATGTATAGACATCTGTAAGTAAAAACAGAACAAATCATCTAAAAATTGGTAACATATGTCATTGTGAAATATGAATTAATATTTATTACCAAAAAATAAAATTGATAAATTCTACATGAAAGCTAATAGAAAACTGACCAATCAGATGGTTAGTTGGTTGAACAAGATTTATTGTCCTATAATCAGCTAAGGTTGTTTCAGCACATGCCTCCATGTGTGTAGTGTATGCATGCATGCATGTATGTATGTTCTAGAGACAGGGTATGTTAGTGTAATTTTTGAAAGTGCGGATCTGATGCCGACTTTAAAGTGCTACGACACCCATATAACATGTATCAACGTGTGCCATTGCCCTAAATGTTGAACATTAAGCAGGGTATAACAACTGCTATTTAAGGACTTAGGTATGTCCCCAGCATGGGGACAGAACCTGTTTCCTTATTCACCTGGGCAAACGTTGAGGTATGACCAAGCAAGGCGCTAAGAAACAGAAGGAAGTTACACATAAGAAGAAATAAAGATCCAAATTATTGCAATGGGTACAGTAGATTTATTTTGGCCGCTTTTGTGTCCCCAAATAGAGGGCAAAAACACATTTTCTGCAGAGGTTCCCACATTAGTCATCTCTTACCATCATGCCGTGGGTAACAGCAGGTGTATTCTTTTCTTGATACCCAGGCTGCATACCCTGCTGTGTTTGCCTCTCCTCATACCCTGCTGAGTTTGCCTCCCCTCATTCCCTGCTGTGTTTGCCTCCCCTCATTCCTTGCTGAGTTTGCCTCACCTAATACCCTTCTGTGTTTGCCTTCGCTCATACCCTGCTGTGTTTGCCTCCCCTCACACCCTGCTGTGTTTACCTCCCCTCACACCCTGCTGAGTTTGCCTCCCCTCATACCCTTTTGTGTTTGCCTCCCCTCATACCCTTCTGTGTTTGCCTCCCCTCATACCCTGCTGGGTTTACCTCCCCTCAAACCCTGCTGAGTTTGCCTCACCTAATACCCTTCTGTGTTTTCCTTCCCTCATACCGTGCTGGGTTTGCCTCCCCTAATACCCTGCTGTGTTTGCCTACCCTCATTCCCTGCTGGGTTTGCCTCCCCTCATTCCTTGCTATGTTTGCCTCACCTAATACCCTTCTGTGTTTACCTCCCCTCACACCCTGCTGAGTTTGCCTCCCCTCATACCCTGCTGTGTTTGCCTCCCCTCACACCCTGCTGAGTTTGCCTCCCCTCATACCCTTCTGTGTTTACCTCCCCTCATACCCTGCTCAGTTTGCCTCCCCTCATACCCTAATGAGTTTGCCTCCCATCATACCCTGCTTGGTTTACCTCCTCTCATACCCTGCTGGGTTTGCCTCCCCTCATACCCTGCTGGGTTTACCTCCCCTCATACCCTGCTGGCTTTACCTCCCCTCATACCCTGCTGAGTTTGCCTCCCCTCATACCCTTTTGTGTTTGCCTCCCCTCATACCCTGCTGTGTTTGCCTCCCCTCACACCCTGCTGTGTTTACCTCCCCTCACACCCTGCTGAGTTTGCCTCCCCTCATACCCTACTGAGTTTGCCTCCCCTCATACCCTGCTTGGTTTACCTCCTCTCATACCCTGCTGGGTTTGCCTCCCCTCATACCCTGCTGGGTTTACCTCCCCTCATACCCTGCTGAGTTTGCCTCCCCTCATACCCTACTGAGTTTGCCTCCCCTCATACCCTGCTTGGTTTACCTCCCCTCATACCCTGCTGGGTTTGCCTCCCCTCATACCCTGCTGGGTTTACCTCCCCTCATACCCTGCTGAGTTTGCCTCCCCTCATACCCTACTGAGTTTGCCTCCCCTCATACCCTGCTTGGTTTACCTCCCCTCATACCCTGCTGGGTTTGCCTCCCCTCATACCCTGCTGGGTTTACCTCCCCTCATACCCTGCTGTGTTTGCCTCCCCTCATACCCTGCTGGGTTTACCTCCCCTCATACCCTGATGTGTTTACCTCCCCTCACACCCTGCTGAGTTTGCCTCCCCTCATACCCTTTTGTGTTTGCCTCCCCTCATACCCTGCTGTGTTTGCCTCCCCTCACACCCTGCTGTGTTTACCTCCCCTCACACCCTGCTGAGTTTGCCTCCCCTCATACCCTACTGAGTTTGCCTCCCCTCATACCCTGCTTGGTTTACCTCCTCTCATACCCTGCTGGGTTTGCCTCCCCTCATACCCTGCTGGGTTTACCTCCCCTCATACCCTGCTGTGTTTGCCTCCCCTCATACCCTGCTGGGTTTACCTCACCTAATACCCTTCTGTGTTTGCCTCCCCTCATACCCTGCTGTGTTTGCCTCCCCTCATACCCTGCTGTGTTTACCTCCCCTCACACCCTGCTGAGTTTGCCTCCCCTCATACCCTACTGAGTTTGCCTCCCCTCATACCCTGCTTGGTTTACCTCCCCTCATACCCTGCTGAGTTTGCCTCCCCTCATACCCTACTGAGTTTGCCTCCCCTCATACCCTGCTTGGTTTACCTCCCCTCATACCCTGCTGAGTTTGCCTCCCCTCATACCCTACTGAGTTTGCCTCCCCTCATACCCTGCTTGGTTTACCTCCCCTCATACCCTGCTGAGTTTGCCTCCCCTCATACCCTACTGAGTTTGCCTCCCCTCATACCCTGCTTGGTTTACCTCCCCTCATACCCTGCTGGGTTTGCCTCCCCTCATACCCTGCTGGGTTTACCTCCCCTCATACCCTGCTGAGTTTGCCTCCCCTCATACCCTACTGAGTTTGCCTCCCCTCATACCCTGCTTGGTTTACCTCCCCTCATACCCTGCTGGGTTTGCCTCCCCTCATACCCTGCTGGGTTTACCTCCCCTCATACCCTGCTGTGTTTGCCTCCCCTCATACCCTGCTGGGTTTGCCTCCCCTCATACCCTGCTGTGTTTGCCTCCCCTCATACCCTGCTGGGTTTACCTCCCCTCATACCCTGCTGTGTTTACCTCCCCTCACACCCTGCTGAGTTTGCCTCCCCTCATACCCTTCTGTGTTTGCCTCCCCTCATACCCTGCTGTGTTTGCCTCCCCTCATACCCTGCTGTGTTTACCTCCCCTCACACCCTGCTGAGTTTGCCTCCCCTCATACCCTTCTGTGTTTGCCTCCCCTCATACCCTGCTGTGTTTGCCTCCCCTCATACCCTGCTGTGTTTACCTCCCCTCACACCCTGCTGAGTTTGCCTCCCCTCATACCCTTTTGTGTTTGCCTCCCCTCATACCCTGCTGTGTTTGCCTCCCCTCACACCCTGCTGTGTTTACCTCCCCTCACACCCTGCTGAGTTTGCCTCCCCTCATACCCTACTGAGTTTGCCTCCCCTCATACCCTGCTTGGTTTACCTCCTCTCATACCCTGCTGGGTTTGCCTCCCCTCATACCCTGCTGGGTTTACCTCCCCTCATACCCTGCTGTGTTTACCTCCCCTCACACCCTGCTGAGTTTGCCTCCCCTCATACCCTTCTGTGTTTGCCTCCCCTCATACCCTGCTGTGTTTGCCTCCCCTCACACCCTGCTGTGTTTACCTCCCCTCACACCCTGCTGAGTTTGCCTCCCCTCATACCCTTTTGTGTTTGCCTCCCCTCATACCCTGCTGTGTTTGCCTCCCCTCATACCCTGCTGTGTTTACCTCCCCTCACACCCTGCTGAGTTTGCCTCCCCTCATACCCTTTTGTGTTTGCCTCCCCTCATACCCTGCTGTGTTTGCCTCCCCTCATACCCTGCTGTGTTTACCTCCCCTCACACCCTGCTGAGTTTGCCTCCCCTCATACCCTACTGAGTTTGCCTCCCCTCATACCCTGCTTGGTTTACCTCCTCTCATACCCTGCTGGGTTTGCCTCCCCTCATACCCTGCTGGGTTTACCTCCCCTCATACCCTGCTGGGTTTACCTCCCCTCATACCCTGCTGGGTTTACCTCCCCTCATACCCTGCTGGGTTTACCTCCCCTCATACCCTGCTGGGTTTACCTCCCCTCATACCCTGCTGTGTTTACCTCCCCTCACACCCTGCTGAGTTTGCCTCCCCTCATACCCTACTGAGTTTGCCTCCCCTCATACCCTGCTTGGTTTACCTCCTCTCATACCCTGCTGGGTTTGCCTCCCCTCATACCCTGCTGGGTTTACCTCCCCTCATACCCTGCTGTGTTTGCCTCCCCTCATACCCTGCTGGGTTTACCTCACCTAATACCCTTCTGTGTTTACCTCCCCTCATACCCTGCTGGGTTTACCTCCCCTCATACCCTGATGTGTTTACCTCCCCTCACACCCTGCTGAGTTTGCCTCCCCTCATACCCTTTTGTGTTTGCCTCCCCTCATACCCTGCTGTGTTTGCCTCCCCTCACACCCTGCTGTGTTTACCTCCCCTCACACCCTGCTGAGTTTGCCTCCCCTCATACCCTACTGAGTTTGCCTTCCCTCATACCCTGGTGTGTTTCCCTTCCCTCATACCCTGCTGTGTTTGCCTCCCCTCATACCCTGCTGTGTTTGCCTCCCCTCATGCCCTTTTGTGTTTGCCTCCCCTCACACCCGGCTGTGTTTGCCTCCCCTCACCCCCTGCTGTGTTTACCTCCCCTCACACCCTGCTGAGTTTGCCTCCCCTCATACCCTGCTGGGTTTGCCTCCCCTAATACCCTGCTGTGTTTGTCTAACCTCATACCCCGCTGGGTTTGACTCCCCTCACACCCTGCTGTGTTTGCCTCCCCTCATACCCTTTTGTGTTTGCCTCCCCTCACACCCGGCTGTGTTTGCCTCCCCTCACACCCTGCTGTGTTTACCTCCCCTCACACCCTGCTGAGTTTGCCTCCCCTGGCCCCTGGGGGTCAGTCAGGGCTCTCACACCCTGCCGTGTTTGCCTCCCCTCATACCATACTGGTTTTTTTTGCTAACCATAATAGCATATTATGAAAGCCTAATAATTATCATATACTAATTGCTTGAAAATCTGCATTTATAAAAATTGTTTGTTTGGTGACTTTAGAAAATATTGACTTCTCATTTGTTCCAACACACATGGTTGAAAATTGCTTTTAAAATAAGACGGTACGCGTACAATTATCTTGATAACTGTTTATGATACTTAACAGAAGATGTTGAATTCATTGACAACCCTCACTGGTCCCGATATTATACAGTAGATATTGAATTCATTGACA